GGGTTCTTGTCTGAGAGATTGTTGGTATGAGTATAGAACAGCCTGAAAGTCCCCTGTGAACTCTTGACAGATCCCCAGAATCTGCCACGATATGTCTCTAGACAATAAATTTATACACTGTCCCTGATCATAGTGAACTAAGGTCTGTAGATCATCTAGAGCTGTTTGTGCTCGTATTGTGTCTACATGTCTGTAGCACAAAATCTCTAGCATGTATAACAGTACCAAGGGTGGGATGAATAATACACGCATGTGTCTCTGTAGAGCAGACTGTTGTTCAGGAATCAGTTCAGTGATGTTATGGATTCTATTGTTAAGTCTGATATCCCATGCTACAGCCTGTCTCATCTTTGTAGACCAGGACTGTCCCCCTACAGCCTCAATATACATCTCTATATCTACATTTTCCATATCCATATATATCACAAATGGTTGTGCTAACTTGACCTTGATTAGCTCTATAACAGATAAAGCTTCCGAGTATCTAAGTGTTTTGAAATAATAGATGGCTATGTACAGCATGTCTGTAATACAACCAAACTTGGCTGCTAATTTCAGCATGTGACAGGACATTTTGTCAGCTCTGTACCTAAGTCTGTTGTCAGGTGTGTAAGTTTCCATGTATAACTTAAAAGCAGTGTACTGAAGGACCCTAGCGGTCATGTGCTGTAGCTTGAGGACTTGATACTGTGTCAGGAGGGTTGAACCTACCATCCGTTCTATTGTATGCAGATGTCTAATGCAAATTTGTATGTCCCATTGGTCTGGTGTTACGGAATTTTGTATTATTTCACCAAACACATTTCTATCAAACTCATCCTCACAAATCAGAGTATGATCATCTGTACAGATGGAGTTTCTGGGGTTATAGAGGACATCTATAATAAAAGCTCTAATGGAGGGACTATGTAGCAGGAATGCTAAACCCTTTTCATACAACCCTGACAGTCTTATATATAATTGTTGTTGTTTGATGCCATGAATTTTACTCAGAAACATGTTGTTGCCTGGAATGAAAAAGTTAGGACAGACCCCCTCATGCACCCATTTGAGGATGAGTTTAAAACAGACCCAGAAACACCCCAGGAGATTTTGTGGACACCATTGAGGTATTGTATTTTGTTGAATCACCCAGAAAACTGCCGTCTTCATGTGATAGGAACATAGTAATTTATCATTATCACCTACTCCATTATTAATTATTTCTGTTAATATCAATTTAAGTAAGCCGTAAGTTAAGAATTGACAGTGATTCATTACATACACAAGTTTTTGTTCTGCTTGGGAGAATGAAATTCTCCATTCATGATCTTCGTGATTTCCTAGCTTATGTCCTATTGCTACAAAGTGACATCCATTTTTCACTATATCATCAACAACATGAGGTTTGGGCCATGAGTGACATCTGTATATCCATGGGGAGGCAGAGGGAGGCCAAAAGTCACTAACAAAACAGTGGGCATAATCATATTCTAGTGTTCCATATCTTCCACTGACACAGGGTCCATGTGGAATGGGATTAAAAGGTAGTGACTCAGATAAAGGGATCTCTCTGAATTTAGAACTAGATATATAATATGTGTTACTCATTCTAACACACGCTCTCTGGATAAATCTGCTTGTACATGGTGACAGTAAATATAACAAAGTAAATCCTGGTGGACTATCAGAACAGTCACAGAGGATCAATGTTTGTCTGTATGTGTTGTAATACTGAGACTGAGATAATTCCCAGATCACACGGTGATTATTTGGCCAGAACATAAAGTCTATATCTGATCCTTTCAGTCTGAGTCCTTCTCCATAACTTCCACTCGCCATCGCACTGGACAAACCACTTGTTGCCACTTGATTTCTAACCATCTCACCGATAACCACTATATCTCTTCTCATGGCCACCACTTTTGAGGTCCCAACTTTACGACACAGTCCCACAAACACCGACTCTGATATGTGTTGTATGCCTTCAATACTTAGAATGATTAAAATGGAATTTATATTCTTGTATAATGAATGTGTCACTTTTGTAAAACTATAATATAATTATCATAATTGATGATTTTTACATTAAAAAATCATAGAATAAATAAAAACTTCCTCAACTGAATCAGTTATTTTTCGACTCAATTAAATCATTTATTTTTTTTTAATAGTGAAATTTGTAACTAAACTTGTCTAGAATATATATATATATTATATGTTTTAAATTCAGTGGTGTAAAAAGTTAAAACCAATTTTACTGTCAACAAATTACACTGATTCAGATGAATTAGGAATTTTTTTTAATTTAGTGCTATAAATTCTTGTAATGAGAACTTACTATTGTGAGCTTCTTATGGAGTCCATTCTCAGTAGCGTATATTTCTTTCTGCTATTGATTAGGCTAGTGTGAGGTCACAGATTTTACCTCAAGGAGCTTCCTCTAGATAAGTATTGGGGGGTCAAAATTAGACACCGTCGACTTAAATTTGACAAGTGAATATAATATTGTAGACGTATCTCAGTTAACTCTGCTAAGGAAAAATGGAAACTTTCTTACTGAATCAAATTACGTCAAAATGTTAAATTTCCTACTTACCCAATATAACTCAAGTTATCAATTTCGTTTCCTGCATGTATTATGGACGGTTTCTTTCGATGAAATTTTCTGATGCAGACTTGAGATTAGTAACACTTGATATTTCGCTTAAAATATTTCTAGCTATGGGATTAGTTTTGTCCTTAAATATAAATCAAAAATGTAGCATAATAGGATAGGTATCAAATTGTGGATTGCTAAGAATGGTTTTTATGTCCAATCATGAATATGGCCGGGGCAGATGGTGTTTGTTATGTACGTCTTCTGTCCTTCCGTCACACCTTGAATTTAGCTCAGTTCAAAGAAAGCTGTTTCAAAGAAACTAAGATATTTTCATAAAAATTCATATGCTGTTAGATATTGATGAGAGTCACTCAGGTGACCTATTAAGGAAAAATTCTTTGAAAGAGACACTCAGAGTTAAGTGAAAGTAAAGTGATTAGTGAATTCAGTGAATTTAAAGACTTCCTAAAAAACATAGTGTTTTATTATTGTTTTTATGACTTTTGTGAATATTATTCCAAATAAATGAATCTATGAATGAATTTAACTGATACATGTTGTTTATTTAAAGATACACAATCGATACTGTAATTTTACAGTGTAACCTTATTGAACCCCCATCATCATGTGATACTTGATGAAATTGAATGTTTAATCTGAGACTGATTTGAACATATTCATTTGATATCGGTTGGTTCAGTTGATATGATTCTTGGACAGTAATGTCGAGGTCTTATGTGTCAAAGGTCTTTCGCAGGTTTGGTGTTCAGCGTCAGTGAGTTGTGTTTTGGTGATGCATTTATGGATTCACATGGTGTTTGATTATTCTATTTGGTTTGATTTTATTTTATGCATATTTGGTGGATTATTGAATTTGTTGTAAATAGATATTGAGGTGATTTTGCACTTTGAATTAGAACATTTGCCTGATATTTAATTTCATAGAATGTCGGGAGCTATTTAATAAAAGGGGGGAATATGTATCCAGTGTAAGTAATCAAATGTTTCAGTTTCAATGTTTTAATTATTACTACTATGTGTGTTTACGTTTGTGTTGTCATGTGTGAATGTCCACTTGTGAGTGTTTATGTTTCTTAGGTGTGACGTATTTGACCATTTCCGGTTTGACTAGTTTCTTTCTATTAATAACTTTTCACGAACTTTCCCGCGGCTAACCATTTTCATGCACAGGCGGCGCTACACCCTTGACAGGAATAGTTCTACTACATCTAGTAGCTGATTTATATAGTGTGCCTGGTAAATATATTTATTACTTATTCATTTCTTATTATATTTGTAATTAAAAGTAAAGTCAGTAAGGATTTGTGAATGTTTTCAATTATAATGACTTTATTTCAGGTTTTTATTATAATATTACCATCAATAAATATATACTTGTCAAACCTAAACCATTAACTTGTGTGTTGGTATAATAATAATGAACCCAAGTACCGCTCTCAATTCATTTTTAACAAAAAGTTACTAAAACTCTTCGGTCAACACATTATTATCAATTTTGTGACCTAAACCAGGTTATTGTGTCGTCTACTATACTCTCTGGAGTTTTCTTTAAACGAACGATAATTATTGCGGGAAAATGCACTTAGTATCCGAAGAGGTGGAATGTGATGAAAAGCATGCCGACGGCCTGGAAGTATGAAGTTTTACGGCCCGTTCACGTGATAACTTAGAACCAATCAGATAACGCGTTGTTTAGAATACTTATAATGAGGTATAATAAAAATTTTATTGCATTTAATTGCAAAACTTTGCGTTTAGTCGCAACAAACATTGCGTTTAAACGCAAAACACTTTGCATTTTTGATAATATTGCGATTGAAAACGCTAAAATTTGTATTTTGCCCTCTTTTAGTGATAGATATATGTTTAAAATTAAAGCTGTTGATCACTCTCTGATATTAGCTATGTCGGTATGTTAGTTAAGTCGTGCAGGTCATATATATCAAAATGTTTTTTATGGAAGATTAAGCAACTATTGCTGACAATCAAACAATTAAACTGCTTGTCAGGGAGCAAAATGAAACAAACGTGTGCATAATTATTTTATTATATTACGCTGCTCTGAATAAAGAAAAACATTTAAACATCCAGTATAGGTTAATCCCATAATTATTAATTTCCTTCATATTATCCTTAAATATAAATAACTTTTTAACCCCCCCCCCCCTTCATTAGCGGAAACAATGAATGTTAATCCTTAATTAAGTTTTTTTAAAGTAGCAATACAAAATAAAATATAGTTACAAGCATTGCATTTTGACAATGATAAATTGAATTTTACTCTACACATGCACATCACGTGACAAAGTACAAGGATATATAGCACTTAACATATGATTGTATGGAAATCAAAATATCGAGGAACAGTATTATTGCCGCTGCATTATAATCATGTTTCTAGTTGTGCGGTTGTTTTTTTCCGTAAAGTTTACTTCCGTATATATTAATTCATTTTACTTTGAATAAAATCCCATGGACGTTTACCATTATATAAGAATGACGCAAAGGAGACATATATCGTAGTCTGAGGTGAGATACTTCATTTATCATTTTGCTATTTCAATTAATATGATTTAAGAGGATAGGGTAGGTGTCCCGTAAATTGGATCCTTCTGGTCAAATAACATGTATTTTGCGCTTTCTTGAACCCTTTCAGCATACATCTATCATCATAAGAAAGGGTAAAATCCGTTGTGTTGTACAAATGAACGCCTTTAAAAAATTACTTGAATTATCCCCTCCCTCCAAACACAGACACTTTTACAATTACATCCGAAAGGGTCCGAGAAAGTTCACTTTTTCTTAATAAAGGCATTAAATTGATCGTTTAGAGTAAACATGCAAATCCCTGACAAGAGGCATACGGAACAAAGCGACAAAACCACACATTAATCGCTAAAATATAAGCAAAATTAATATGAACAAAAAAAGTTTAAGAGGTGGGATCATGTCAAATTATCAAGAACACTTGCGCTTCGCTGTGATTGGCTGAAACAAAAATAGAAACAAAACGTCATTAACTTTCTTGTTTTGACAAAATACTTAAAAGTTTTAAGAGCCAGTCCGCGAGAAAACCATGCAAAATTCAAAAAATCGTCCAAATGGAATGTTGCAACTTGGGAATTTTTAGTGCCTTAAAATTTTCTACATAAAGATAGAAGTCAGAATATCCACAAAAAAATGTCGAACCCTGCATCTTTCTTTAGCAACAGCTCATTTGCATATTTGTGGAAAATCGCACAAAATTTAATGGAAAATGTATACAAATTGATCAAGTCGAAAAGTTACTTTTTTTCATCAGTTTAATTTCAAATTTTGTTTTATTTTCAAAGTCATGGTCCAATTAACACAATTAATGAGTAAAAACTTAATTCAAATGAATATTTTATTTTTACACATCTATTTATAGATCCTAAATAAAGGAGAATGATTTTTAGCCATTTTTAGATGCTCGTTTCTCTCAAGACCAAGGTTGAAATTAAATCAAATTAATTGTTACTTTAAGAATGATCTAAGGTCTACTCTGTATTAAAATATTGAGCTTGGGAAATAATTTCTACATGCTGTAAATTAACTTTGAAATACCATATTTTGCTACAATTTCACATATTTTAAATAACAGTCTTTTACCATATTTTTGGATTATTTCTATGATATTTAAAGAAAAAGAGAAGATTCTTAATCTAATATATTTTTTAGAAGAGGAATAACTGATTTGGACACTTCATATAACTTTCTTTTCTATATGGAAAGAAGAAAGTCATGTATGATCATTTTTTTCTTCCTCTAGGGAGTTGTTGTGGAGCATTATTGCACTATGAAAGAGGGAAAACTTATTTTAAGATATTTGAATGTAAAAAATAACAATTTAGCTTGAATAAACAAATACATGTAACAGGCCCATAGGAAGCACTTTCAGTGTGGGGGAGGGGGGACAACCTACATTATCAACTACAAAAAAAATACCAAGAATTCCATAGAAAGTAAAAAAATAAAATAATAGGTCATCAAATGTTTGTTTTTTTTTATTTGGGGCATATACATGTAGTAGGTATGTTTTCTATAGGGTTCTGTCCTCGGGGAATCTACATGTATTTCATGGTAATTTAACAGATACAAAATTTTTCCTAGTAAGTACAATTGAATAGGAAATTAAATCAAATAATAACATATTTTTAATCAAAATATACATTTGATATTTTGTTTAAGGCACCTGGCCCCGTTCAAGTTCAAGATCATTTTTATTCACTCAAACCATTTCAGGTACATGAGGACAATGAAGAATATTTACAGCATATAAATTCAGGTCAGAGGACAAGTATATGATATACATAATCAGAATATGAAAAGGAAAAGAAAAACGCATATGAAACATGTAATAATGAAATAAGCGAGGGATCGAAAAATCATGGAGGAATGACTAACTAAAATCATGTATTTTCAATATAAATGCACGTAGTTTTCTTAGTGTCTTAGCAACTTGTTTTGTCATCATTTGAGAAAATATAAGAATACAAACAGGTATTTGATTGCATACTCTCAACAAATTCAAAAATAATTTGTAATTTCAATCTACATGTAAATTGTTTAGGTTTCATATATAGATTTAGTGTGTTTTTGAGTTATAACCAAACACCGTCATTCCTAGGAATATTTTTTATTTTACATTACATACTTTAAACTACTGCGTTACGTAACATTCATATATTGATAAAGTCAGACCTCACATTAAAAATCATCAGCTCAAAAGGAGATGCCACCAATTTAGGTACCCCACCGATATAGGACCCTCAACGATAAATATTGGCAATATTAATCGGGAGAGGGTACAACCCCCCCCCCCCCCCCAAAGAAAATATGAGTCGTTACTGCAGCCAAAACTTTGCTAGTTTGAAGTACAAAGTAGTAAAAATTTAAAACTTGCTATAAACATGATAAAAGACTGTGTAGCGGACATTATATAGGGAAGTTATACTGCCTCGCCAGTGAGCTAGCTTTTCTGATGATGCGGTAGAGTCTCCGTCCAGGCAAGTTAAGCAACGGTGAGCCTGTTTAACCCTTGGATGGGTGACCGCTTCACGTTACAAAATTGGTGGCAGCGTAGTGACTCTGGGTGTCTGGTGTCCTGCTTCAGGAAGTCTTAGAGCTCGGACAAAATTATTTTCAAAACATTATTAATAAAATTGTATAAGGCTGTGTAAATTAATATTTGATACTTTTTCTGAATAACCATAATGGTATTATTAATACATGTACCATTGCAGACAGAGATAAATTGATTAATGTTATATGTATCCACTGAAAACAGTTGGGGGAGGGGGCGTGTCAATCGATCAAGGTCATTCAGGATATTAAATATACATATTACGAGTGTAGTTTAACCCCATCCACCTCTCCACAATTTACAAACTAATATTGAAATGGATAAAATAATGAAAAATGATTAGGGTTCTAGAGGGGTGTTGCTAAAACGAGGAACGGAAAACGTATTATATTTTTTTTTTTAGATTAAATCACATTTAATAAACAAATTTATAAACAATATATATTTTAGAAATTCTATCCCCCATGATTTAAATAAAGTTGATTTATTCATGTTCATAAAATCTCTTATTCACAGAATTGCAGTCATAGCATTGACGTAGAAACGATTTTGAAAGGGTCGAGAGGGGGGGGGGTTAAAATTAAACTTACCTGAAAAGAATTTGCCAAGCGAAAAAAAAGACATTTGTTTGATTCGGGAGGTGGGATAAGAGTAAACTCCAGCATCTTTCATTTTCTTAAACTCTTTTATGGAGCTTTTTGTATAATATCCCCTGTCAGTGTCAGTATTTTTATAAGATTGTACCAATTTAAAATTGGCAGAAAGCTTACAACTAGCTGCAGAACTGTAGCTCTCCGAAAAAAAAACCATACATTGTGTATATTGATAGACCAGAGAGCTACAGTGCCAACCATTGAAAAAACTGTTTATTTATTGCACACAAAAAAATGCGCTGTTTCTCGATTTATTTCTCCGTGTTCTTAAAACTGTCATCTCAAATTTCACAGGTGCTTGAGGACAGCCCCCCCCCTTCGATATAGACCCCTAGGCTTTTTCGATTTTTTTCTCATAAAATATCTTTAATTGCCATATTTGTGATAAGATCTATATCAACAATCGAAAAATTGCCCAAAGAAACGGTCTATTAAATCTACCCTACATTCTCTATATAAAAATCATATAGAGAGGGTAGATATTTTTATAAAATGTAAGTTTAAGCAAATTTTCTGAACTGATAGGATAGATTATATCACAAATGTGTCATCCATATATAATTTATGTGAAAAAAGTCTAACAGGCCCGGGGGTCTATATTGAGGGGGGGGGGAGGTCCTGTCCTCAAGCACCTGTGATGTAAACCATGCCGTTAATTGATAAAGGAGAAAGGACTTTATTGTAATCTAGCCGTTTTTGCAATTGAGGTAAGAATTTGGAAGAATTAATCCAGAACCAAGCGCATTTTTTATGCGCAATAAATATACAGGTGGCACTGTAGCCCTCCGGTCTATCAATATATATTTTTTCAGAGAGCTACAGTTCTGCAGCTAGCAAACAATGTCAAGTCTCAAAATTTATATGAATGGATACTGAGTCCGTTTGAATTTAAATACTTGTAATTTCCTTTTTATTAATTATAAAGAAACTAACTTTCAAGATGTAAGGAACATATACATTCATATGATTGTTGAAAAATTGCAAGTAAGCCAATACAATTTGTTATGTTTTTTTTTCTCATTTCTAAACAATTCGCAAAATGCTTATCCTCATATTAGGGGTAATTTCTGATAATTTAGTTTTTTTTTAATTTTTAATTTAAATATTTTTCACTCATAATTATTATTTCAAAGAAAATTTTTGCATGTTTCAATATCTAACAACAATTGTATATAATTTAAAGTACTATGTTTGACTTTGTAATCCATTTGAGTTTGAGCAATTTTTTCGAAAATTGGCAATTTGTAAATCCCAATATCTCAATTATTTATTATTTCCCAAGCTCAATATTTGGCAAAGATAATGTTTAGAGTTATATTTGTACAATAAAATCAAAAAAATTAATTTCAAAGATTGGTCTTGGAAGATTTTGGGCATTAAATTTGTAATACTTTTGGCAATTCCTGAAAATTGGCATCATGCCAATTTTCAAGGGTTGTCTGCCCTTTGATATATTGCATATTTGATTATGATAAATGTCAATTTTGAAAGAACATAGTCTTATGTTTTTCAAAATACCTTAATGGAAATGCAAGTTTAATTTTGAGTAAAATAAATCAAATGTGAATTTTACCATTTTTCTTGAATTTTTTAAGTGCATTTGCACTTAAATGTGCAAAAAGGAGGTGGTGCTGCCTACGACTGCCATGTTGAATGATGGGATTTTTTTTGGTCATTTTTAATAACATATTATAAAGTCTAACTACCCACCAAATTTCATTAAGATATGACAACCTTCGATTTGGACAGTTCTGCATGGTTTTCTCGCGGACTGACTCTTAAATAAAGGTATCTATTATAAGGTTCTACAATTTAACGTATTCAGAAATCAGAAAACTGAAGGCTGGAATGCTGTATTTTGACTGCCTGGAATTTTGAAAACTATGACTTTCGTAGTTATCAATAAAACAGGATGAGATTTAGAAAATACATAGGTTCACGTACAGATTTCGTCAAAAATCATTCTCATATTAAGCTACAAAATTAAGCAGTACACTATTATACACCTTTCTTTGTATAAAATGTTACTTCTGAGTAGGTATTGGTTTTGCATTTACTTTTCAAGATTTATACAAAGATAACCTAACCTTTGCCCTTTTTTAAAATAGGAAGTTGAAACAATTGAAAATTTAATTTTTTAGTGATTCTGTTAAAAAAAAAGAATAATGGTGTCATATTGATAAGTGGTTTTTATAAAAATTCATTTTGTTACTAATTTTGATAGAAAAGATATACTCTTTGGGAAATTCAACAATAAAAGCATGTATAAATTACACAATATAATAAAACTTATTGTTAAACAAGTCATTTTCGCCAGTAGGTTTAAAAATATGCCTAAATAAAGTATCAAAATGCTAGAAAAAAAAATATTATAGAGAGAATACTAGTTGGAAAAGTGGAAAAGCTACACTTTTAAGAAATTGTTAATTTTAAGAATATGAAAAGTACTGGAAACTTATCAGTGATATGCTAAATTGTACGTGTAGCGCGTTGTTAGAAACAACACGCAAGTGCGTTAATGACAACGCACTTGCGTGTAAACGCGTTAGCGCGTTGTCATAAATGTGCTTGCATGTTAGTGCGTTGTCATTAATGCGCTTGCGTGTAGTTTCGGACTCGCTATACTCTTTTGCAATGGCCCTTTTAGGACACCGTATTTTTGGCATGTATCGTAGAAATATCTAAATAATGAGCTAAAAGACACAGCAAAAGGCTTTAGTTTGTTTTTTTTAAGAACAATTCCTTGAAGGTTTGACCCCGGATTATTCCGATTACCTATAAACACAAAGCTATCATGTCTTTTGTTGTTGAATCTTGAGGAGGTTTATTGCTCTTAGGTACCTGATAGCAAGACTTATATTTCCTGAACTCCGTTTTTATGCTTTATTGATTGCACTTTTTTTGTTTTTTACAAAACTTCAAATAAATACTGTACATATAAAATCATACAAAAATAATTCAAAATAGAAAAAAAGGAAAAAGAGGATTGCAAAATTCCTCTGATTTTCTTCCCTGAAAATATGAATTCTCAAAATTTGCTCCGGAAATCACTTTTCCTGAGTTGATTTTTATGTATGTGAAATAAAGATTTCTTTATGAAAGCTTGGTAAAACTGGGAGGAGAATACGATGAATTTCCTTCCTTATGCGTTGGGTATTCATACACAAAATAAACATGATCTCCATTATTTTAGTAGTACTAAAAATAGTGTTAAATCAATTTAAATATTGCTATGAAGTATTCAGCCAAAATATGAAAGATGATATTTGCTAACAAAGACAATACACCCACAATAAAATGAAGAAATACTGACTTTAAACGTGGTTGTTGAATTCCCTTTAACATTAAATCATTTTTCAGCAGCCTGTTTCAGTTTGACCGGTCAGCAGGTGATGTTCATTCCTCCATGGCACCTGATGCTACCCGTGATGAAGGATGTGGAGATAACGAACAGTATTCAATGACCCTTTATTCGATGATGAATTCTAAGAGTATAGCTCCTTTATTTGTGAACAATTCAAAATTTTAAACATGTAATCTGCCTTAAATACATTTATTGAAAGGTTTATTTACAACCATTTTAATCAATTAAGTGAAAAACCTTTAGTTATTTCTTATAATTTATAAATTTTTTGGGATGTACAAAGGGAAAAGTTATGTTTTTATACCACTCAACTACTTGAATTTTATTTATTGATAATACCTGAACATCTGGTTGAATATCACAACAAGACTTTTCTTCATCTTATCATACACGCACAAGTTGTTGACTGATTTGAAATCAAAAAATATTGATAAAATCCTGATTCCTGATTCTTTTCAAACAAATTGAGCAAATGTTAAAAAATTAAATTGAAAAAAATATTGTAAACATTAGATTTTTGCTTGAAAAAAATCATTTTGGAAAGGATTACTGAAACAGACATGCCAATAAGTATTCTAAGAAAAAGCAAAAGTTTGCTTGTGAAGCTGGGTTAAACTGGGTTTCTTCCTTGTCATTAAAATTTGAATTTCCAATCCTATATATGTTTTCCCTGTATACTGATACTGAGTAGAACTTGGTCGTATTTCCTTCCGTATTTAAGCACATTGTTGTTGAATACTGAAGATTATTTTTTTTAAGTTTTAATAACATCTGGTTCAAATAATGAATTTTATGTGCATTGCTCAATTTGTGAAAATTCAAAATTCAAAATCAAATCAGCAAATACAATATATCATTAAGTCAAAGCATACTTAGTCCAGTTGTTAGTCCATTATTTGTACATTGAATTGACGACGGATTTTCGTGTTATTTCTCGATTATGACAAGTAGCACACGGCGGGTGTGACCGGTCGGCAGGGGATTCTTAATCCTCCATGGCATCTGATCCCACCTCTGATGTTTGGGAGGTCCGTGTTTGCTTTGATCCTGCTTTGTATGGTTTTATGGACTTTGAGTATTGAATATTTTTCGTTATCTCCATGTCCTCCTCTTGGAGGTCTGCGTTTGTCCTCTACCTCATTTGTGGGTTGTTCTTTATTTTAATTTAGGGCTAGAATACTGTTTGTTATCTCAATATCTTATAAAAAGACCAAATGAAAAACAGTTCACCTTGAAAAAAAAAATCAGCTGAATCACCCTGAATTTGTATAGTTCTTGGAAGCTTTCCTTTTTTATATTCAAATATATCTGTTTTCGAAAGTTTCGACATGAGCATCAGCAAAGAAACAAAATTTGTCTGAATGGGCAACTGGTGCATTAAAATTGGTACCGTAAAAGATTGCTATTAATTTCCAAAATCAATAAAGCATTGCACTGTCATTTCAGAGTATTAACTGAAAGGAATCAAAGAATGGCTTCTGGACCAGACCCTGGCGGCCGTTCCAGGTTTGCTAAACTCGGAATGGCAATTAATGAAGAAATGACCCAGGCCTGTAGAGATGTCTTAGAAATGGAAGTACCTCCTGGGCTTGTCTACAACAAAGTGAAGTTATCATCGATTTATAAAAACATACGTCCTGAGCAAGAACGTCGTCTTATAGGCGCCAAAACTGATGGTTATAAAGAATTTGATATAACACTGTTATATACACTGATAAGAAACATATGTACAAAGATTCCTCGTCCAACAAAAGGTTGGGGTGGAAGCACGATGCCGTCAGTAGGAGAAATAACGATTGGCGATGACGTTGAGAGGATTAGGATGATAAGAAACACTATGTTTGGACACATAAGCTCGGCCTCTACCTCACAGACAGATTTTGATGACACGTGGTCAATCATAACTGATATCTGCCAAAGGCTGCAAGCGTACACAAACAAAGACTATTTGTCTGGACTGAGTAATATTCAAAGTCAGGCCTTAGAAGAGGAGTTCGAAACAACAATCATAGAAAAACTTAGGGAAGATTATAAAAATAACCAATCTCTACTGGAAAAAATATCTTCTGTGGAAAAGGATTTGCAAGAATTGAAAAGAAAATTCGAAGACAAAGGTGACTATAATAAATAATGTCATTAAAATATTTACTACATACGATCAGGCAGAGACTATTGTTTCATGCTAACATGACTAATACATTTCTCTATATTAGTAATGTGGAATGTTTCCTTAAGATTTTTGCAATTTGAACAAATGTTGGCTAAGCACGAAAATCTCCATGATATCTACAAGACGTTAGTACTATAGTGCAAACTATAATGATCGAATAATTACAAAAATGTCTGTATTGTTATTGGGGATAGAGCCTAAACATTTTTTTTAAATTTCATCTATTAGATTTCTCGATGTACTCGAACTACCAAACTTAAGGCCTGCATATATATCATGGAGTTGTTACATGCCAGTGTTGAAACTGAGACGCACTTTGAAGCCATTTTTTTCTAGGAAACCATGCTGTAATCGTAGAGGAAGATTTTTTCCGCATATTTTCATATACCTGTTGTAAAACTTAGTCTACCACTAGATATAGAGTCAGACTTTCCACGTTGTAGGTCTTTCACTCCGTATAATCTTGTTTTAATATGTGCAACATTCACTCTAGATAAATCTTATACTAGTAGTTACTAAACATTCACTCTAGATTAATCTTATACTAGTAGTTGCATTTATCAAACGTCGTGAATGTTAATTTATCCCTGACAGCCATTTATCCGTTTCTCTTGTCGTAAATTTTTAAATTAAGTAGAGTAAAAAAAAAAAGAGCAAAAATGTCTGTCTTGTTATCGGGGATAGAGCCTAAATATATTTTTTTAATTCCATCTATGAGAGTTCTCGATGTACTCGAACTACAAAACATAAGGCCTGCATAGATATCACGGAGTTGTTACATGCAAGTGTTGAAAGTGAGACGCTCTTTGAAGTCCTTTTTTTCCTAGAAAAAGATGCTGTAATCGTAGAGGAAGATTTTCTTCGCATATTTTCATATACATGTTGTAAAACTTAGTCTACCACTAGATATAGAGTCAGACTTTCCACGTTGTAGGTCTTTCACTTCATATAATCTTGTTTTAACATGTGCAACATTCACTCTACATAAATCTTATACTAGTAGTTGCATTCATCAAAAGTCGTGAATGTTAACTAATCCCTGACAGCCATTTTCCGTTTCTTTTGTTGTATATTTTTAAATTAACTAGAGTAAAAAAAAAGAGCAAATTTGTCATGATTATAAGTAAACTATTTTTTTCCCAAAGTGAATTCAAATTTTAAGTATAATAGGCCAAGTAACTGCATTTATTTCTATTTAAAACAATAGGCCGATTAACTGCATTTGTTTCTATGTAAAACACTTAAATTACAGTAAGATATCTAAAAAAAATTACCTGCAATCCAATTTTATAATAATTTGTTTGCATTAGATAAAAACCCCATATTTTTTTTCTATCATATGGCATGAGAATCCTTTCCAACCATAGTTTTTATTTGTGCTTCACCATATACCACAACTTAAAGACAGTACATACAATCGTTTCTTTTTCTGAATACTTTAAATTACACACTTTCTTGTAGTAAATATATGTTGCATTCACCAAAAAACAGTGTAACAGTATTTTTCAATATTTAATTCAGTTTCAGATGAGTTAAAGAGCACAATCTTAGTGGACAATAATACAGTTTTACCAAAAATACAATTTGATTTAACAATTTCTTATTTTCTGTTTTTATACTTATTATCTTAAAAAAATATCTTTTTCAGAAAACACTCTGGTAAAAGAGATTCTGGACAATTGGCGGGAAGACGATGTTGCCTTCATTTCTACAAGAGCAAGTGAAGTGGTTCAAGAGAAGCTCAAAAGTCTTAACCTTATTACAGTGGTTGGAAATTCTGGGTCCGGAAAATCTGCAATAATTCAACATATTGCACTCATTCTTAAAGAGCAGGGATGGAATGTCATACCGGTGGATAAGGTGGAAGAAATAAAAAAGATCTGTTCAACTGGAGTCTCAGAAAATCGTATTTTATTTGTATTAAATGATCCTTTAGGTAAGGAGTCGTTAGATGAAATTTTGTATCACTCGTGGAAAAGTTTAGAGAAAACGCTGGAGATTTGCTTGAAAAAGAATAAACTATTAATATCATGTAGAAGATGCGTCTTTTATGACAAGAGAATCAAGGGTAACTTATTAGATGACTCATCTGTAGTAGAAATTGACAACGAAAAAAATGGACTGACGATTGACGAGAAAAGAACGATCTTAAATCGGTATTCACAGAATCTTCATTTATCCGAGGAGGTTGTTACTGAAATAATAAAAACGGAAGCTTACTTCCCATTGCTTTGTAAGCTTTATTCAAGGGAGGCGAACTACAAAGAAAAGGGGGTCGATTTCTTTAAAAATCCGTACAAATTTATTAAAAAGGAAATTGAAATTTGGAAGAAAACTGACAAGAAAAGATTTTGCTCACTTATCTTGATAGTGGCTTTTAAAAACAATTTGAAAATCGATGCTATTGTAAAAAATGATATTTGTTTGATGAAATTTAAAGAAGTTTTAGGTATGTGTGAGTTACAAGAAAACACACATGTATCAGTCATTCGTAGTACTCTACATGAACTGAAAGGATCTTATGTCAAACGTGTCGGAAATCTTTTCCAATTCCTTCACGACTTTATTATGGAGATAACGACTCTGGTGTTTGGTGTTGATTGTCCACAAGAAACAATACAGTACGCAGACAGTGGTTTTCTGAGACGACGTGTGAGGATAGAAGACGATACAGAAGAGGAAGATCGCGATCCTTTCACTGTTTACCTTCCTGAAGAGTACATTGATGATCTTGTGGACAGGTTTATTAGTGATATGCAAACAGAACACATTGTAGATGTTCTACTCAATCCATGTTTACGCAATGAAAGTGCAATCAAATCTTTTAAGGAAAAAATTGAATCACCAGGAAAGCTTCTTGTGAGAATTGAATGTGATTTAGACAGATCAGATTTTACAAAAGAATTTAAGGGCACTGGAACTTTCTTCTCAAGACTTAACATTATTGATGTGGAAGGTGAAATATGTCCTTTAGTCGGACTAATCGTATTTTGTCACACTGATATTTCTTCCTTTCTCTTAAAAAGTATCCCGGAAACGAAGTTAAGGGAGTATCCTATATTCCCTGCTATATGTGCTAATGGCGATTTAAAACTACTTAATTCTCTCAGCAATAATTATAAAAAATCAGGTATACTAGAAAAATGGAATGGGTTTTTTCCAATTCACATTGCTTGTTTATTTCATAACTTTTCAATAATTCAAGAATTAGTTAACCTTGGTAGTGATGTAAACATGCTTTTCGGTGATGAAATGATCAGTCCATTGTTTTTTGCTGCTGTAAATGATGAGAGACATTTGAAAGAAGCTGGAATGGATACCAATGCCGAACAAAAACGCAATGAAACTATCATCTGCTTATTAAACAATGGTGCTGACATCAATGCATGTGATAAAGATGGAAACAGTCCTCTTTCAATAGCCTGTGATTTTGGATATGATAGCCCTGTACAACTGTTACTGAATAACGGTGCCGACATCAATTTATGTGATAACGATGGATTCAGTCCTCTTTATATAGCCTGTCAAAATGGACATGATAGCACGGTACAACTGTTACTGAACAACGGTGCCGACATCAATTTATGTGATAACGATGGATTCAGTCCTCTTTGTATAGCTTGTCAAAATGGACATGATAGCAAGGTACAATTGTTACTGAACACCGGTGCCGACATCAATTTATGTAATAAAAATGGATTCAGTCCTCTTCATATAGCTTGTCAAAATGGACATGATAGCACGGTACAACTGTTACTGAACAACGGTGCCGACATCAATTTATGTGAGAAGAATGGAGCCAGTCCTCTTTATATAGCTTGTCAAAATGGACATGATAGCACGGTACAACTGTTGCTGAACAACGGTGCCGACATCAATTTATGTAATATTAATGGAGCCAGTCCTCTTTATATAGCTTGTCAAAATGGACATGATAGTACGGTACAACTGTTACTGAACAACGGTGCCGACATCAATTTATGTGAGAAGAATGGAGCCAGTCCTCTTAATATAGCTTGTCATAATGGACATGATAACATGGTACAACTGTTACTGAACAACGGTGCTGACATCAATTTATGTGATAATGATGGATTCAGTCCTCTTTCTATAGCTTGTCAAAATGGACTTGATAGCACGGTACAACTGTTAATGAACAACGGTGCTGACATAAATTTACGTGATAAAGATGGAAACACATTTCTTTTTGGGTAGCTTGTGAAAACTCACATTGCAGCACAATCGAACTTCTATTAAATTCAGGTGCTGATGTAAATTTATGCAACAAAGGCAACTGTAGTCCGTTGTTCCTAGCATGTTTCAATGGAAATGAAGGCATGGTTAAACTGTTATTGAACAATGGGGCAGACATCAATTTATGTGACAACGAAGGAACCAGTCCACTCTACATAGCCTGTGAAAATGGACACTACAGCACGGTCGAATTATTATTATTAAGAAATAATACTTGTGTTAATTTGTGCAATAAAGACAACAAGAGTCCACTGTACATAACATACTTATATGGTCATGACAGTATCGCTGAACTTTTACTACAATATGGTGCTGAGTTTTTATTCTGAAGATGGATTCAATGATTTCTCAACTCAAGTGCGTTTACATTATTTCTGAGATATGGAGCAAAGCAAATTTAAGCTTTGATTAGACCTTGCAAAAATGATGGAGTGCTTGGAATTCATGTTTTATGTTTAGTTTACAAATATTTATCGCTTTTAAAAAATTGTGTGGATTTTTTTTTCTTTTAAGTTTAGTAATTATTGCAGTAATGTTAATCGCCAAATTTTCTGTGACAATTGTTTCTTTTGAGATGGATGCTGCGTTTGTAAAAGCGAGATGGAGATATTGCACTTAAAAGAATTTTTTTCTCTAGAGTTTTTTTTTTGGTTGATATTTAATAGTAATACTTTTATACGCAAGAATTATTATTATTATTTTTTGTTAGAAAACACACAAAAGAGTTTTTTTTTTGAATAAAAAGTTTACGTATTCACAGACATTTATTTAGCTAACTTATTTTTTTTTTGTCATATGGCTTTCTTTATTATATTGTACTACTGCTATTTAAAGGTTTAAGCTATTAAAAAAATTTCAGTCTTATAAAGCGTCTTGTTTCAAAAGAGCAAGGTCGTCCGGCTACATCAATCTTTTTGTTCTTGTTAGCAGCAAGGGAGCAGTCGTTATTTGATATAAAGGTAAACCATAGCACTGTGTTTTTGTAATATTTAAATTTATTGTGTCAGATGAGTAATGATTATTTATTTGGGTGTAATTAAGGGCTTAATTTAAAAAAATCTTAACTAAATATAGGTGACACATGTGTTCGAACTGTTATGTTTTCAACATATAGTTATATTCTGTTGATTAATCGAAATTCGTTTGGAACAATTTAATTTAATTGTATAAAGATTATATGTTCGGGGTGGGGGGTTATTTATCATATATTCCTTAATATGAACAGATCATCACGGCATGTGTCTTTTAAGCCCCTGAACAACAATTAGCCGAAGAAGGTACGCAAAATTCTATGAAATAAAAATTCTCGTCACAGACACATTTCTTTTTTTTAATGCATGTTTTGCAATTGTCGATATATAATTGATTTCTTTTTTTTTCTTTTCTTTTCTTTTTTGAAATTGAAAATGTGTGTACATGTATTAATTTTGTGTGTTGATTTCATTTATAGTGCTTTGATTTATATTGTGCATTGTTTGAACTTGAGAATGTCTGTATATGTATATTAATTTTGTTTGTTGATTTCGTTTGAAGTGCTTTGATTTATATTATGCATTGTTTGAACTTGCATATGCCTGTACAATGTACATGTATTAATTCTGTATTTGTTTTTTTGTTTGATTTTTTTTATAGTTCTTTGTTTGAAATCATGCATTGTTTATTAATCGTCATTCGGGATTATTCATTCCGTTTTGTTAGAATACGAAGAATGAAGGAATGTTGAAAATATATATGTTTGTGCAAAATTGTTTCTCTGAGTTAATCTAAAATTACATATCGACAATTACAGCACGATTTAACAATTGAATTTGAAATTTAAAATGATGCAATAATCTGGCATACGTTATTATGAAACATGCAAATTTTTGTTTTTGTTTGATACTGTATATAGTACATGTCAATATATTTTCAAAGTTGTATTTTATGCAGTTTTATATTGTGTGTTTATGTGTCAGAAAATATAAACTATCCTTAAATGATTTCATTCTGATTGCTAGATCATCATTTATACGCTGCATTATCGTCCGTTTTTTCAGGCAATAACTGACAGAGTTATGCTTTTTGGAAAAATATAATTACTTGGCAGGGGTGGGGATTGGAGATGGGTTGTCTTAACTGTTTCACATACTGCTTGCTAAAGTTTTTTGCGTAGATTGTTTTTCTGTATATCCAATCAGTAGAAAGTTTGATCTTTTTAAGTAATGATGCTAATTTCAACTTATGTTATCCGATATAACATAACTTGGGGCAGTTTACGCATAAAAAAGCTAAACTGACCCAAGTTTTGTTATATCGGATAACATAATTTGAAATTAGCTTCATTCCCTACAATTTAATTCCAGAGTAAACAATGAGACAATATTTCTTTCGGAAAAAGTTTTCAAATCAAGCATTATTTTAAGTAATGTCAAGCGGAGTAATACGTTTTTGACGTAACTCATTGTGACGTAGGCAAGTTATGTTATACAAAATGTTATATATTTCTCTGAATGATTCAGCCAATGAAATTGCTTGATACAAATGAAGTAAAATTATAAATATATATCTTAAACAAAACTTAAATACAATTAATGAACTAGTACAATTTGTGATAATACAAGGATGTGTTTATCAAATTTGTTCCGGAATAAGTAGATTAAAATAATTTCCGGGAAATATGTTTTATCATATTTTTGTGTGAAATGCTATATCAACATATAAGTTGCGATATCATACAGAATATTTGAAAAATATTAAACTTCATCCGTGTTTCAGCATCTTTAAGGACCTTTGAAATTTTAATTGTATCTTATCATTTGTTTTAATTTCGTTTCATTTCATCTATCATCTTCTATGTTCTATGTGATTATCCTGAATCCTTAATTAAAAAACAAATTAGTTGGATCACTAGAATGGTCACGTCCTCTTTCAAGAGGCGATAATTGAGAAATAGCAAAAATGTGGGAGTATCTTTAAAAATCTTCTCAAAAGCCATTGGCCAAACGAGTAAAACTTAAAGAAAACCTTCTTTTCATAGTTTCGATTTAATTTTGTTCAAATGATGAACCCAAGGTTAGGATGAGGCCACAATAAGTGTTAATTAATGTTTTATAAAAGAACAAATAGGAAAAAATATGGATATTTCTTCATCTAAAGAGAGCAATGGTTGATCATGTTAATAAGGAAGAATCCTTGCATAGCTTAGATTCTAGTCTGTTTAAATGATGACACTGGGTTAGGATGAGGCTTCCCAAGGGGATCAAAGATTCATTTTGCCATATATAAAAAAAATTAAAAACCTTCTCAAGAATAACAAAGCTATGATTAGTTATTTTGATATGGAAGCATTATCAGAAAGTGTAGATTTTGGATTGTTTAAATGATGACCCTACCGCCGGGGAAAGGTAAGGTCAAGTAGAGGATCAAAGTTTTACAAAGCTTTCATTAGATGTATTAAATGTGTTTAAATCATGACCCTAGGAGGTAGTTGAGAGCTCAACAGGATGAAATATTTTTGGGAAAAAAAGAGTGAAAATGTTGAGCTTTCTCAAAAACAGCAAAGCCATGATTATTCATATATTTTAAAATCATTTGATTTTATATTTTTATTTATTATTTATTTTGATTTAAATTAGGACTTTAGCTGACTTTATAAGATATTTGATCGTGTTTATAGCACATTATATTGTAATAAACTGTGAATTCAACAAGAGACTTTTGGCCAATTTTCGTGGATTGTTGTAACAAACTAAATTTAATCCCGTAGGATACCCCTAGTGCGTGAGTGTAAATATTGTTATTTATCCTGTGGGGAGCCCCTCGATGTGTAATTTTATCTACCTGAGAGCTCGTGTTCGGGTAGTACCCGGGAAGTCACAGCCGAGATAAGACCTGTTTGGCTTGTTGTTATGATGAAGTAGTCTGGGCGGGTACTCAAACTACATCAGGTATTTGAAAATACAATTTGTAAAATATGTTTTCTTGTGTGAGTCTGCACGTTTAGTATGGTTGTTTTATTATATTTTCCCCAGGGTTCTATTTCCTCGGGCTTTTGTCCCGTTTCGTAATTATCAGGTCTTGGGCGGGGTGCTACAGCTAATTACATTGACAATAGCCAGTCGGCAGTCCAGGGTGACAGGGAGAGGCTTGCAATGTGTAATGATTTTGCAGTAACAGCGGCAATTGTGTGAGAGAGTAGGACAGAGTATGGCAGCCCTGACGGACACATCCGGACCAGCAATTTAAAGTTATGTGTTATATTGATTGATTGTATATTGTTTAACGTCCCTCTCGAGAATTTTTCACTCATATGGAGACGGCACCGTATGCCGGTGAAGGGTTTCAAATTTTGACCTTTACTCGGCACTCAGGGCCATTGAGCAGTGAGGGATCTTTATCGTGCCAGCGCCTGTCGCTGACACGGGGCCTCGGTTTTTAAGGTCTCATCCGAAGGACCCGCAACTTTCACTTCAAAGTGCCGAGCGCATGGCGAAGGAACAGTTGCTACCCATTTTAACGACTAGGTCGGTCGCGGCCGAGATGCGAACTCACGACCTCCCGATCACGACGCGAGCGCTCTACCCACTGAGCTACCGTGAACGGTAGTTATGTGTTATAATGAAATCTCCTGTTTGAAATAATATCAATTCAAAAGAAAGTTAATCTAGACGGCATTGTGAAAGTTTATTATGTGATATATGTGATACTTGTGAAAGTTATAATATTCAATTTAATTTGTGAAAGGAAACACGTTTATCAGAGGAAATTCAAAAACCGGAACTCAAACCTCCAGCAAGGGTGTGGTGATTAATTGACTACGTTTTAAAGAACATTCTTCCAAGACTGACGTGCTGCTGATTGACAATTCACTTCTATATTTTTATTTGTTTCTTTTGTTGTACAATTTACTTTTGTTTTGTTTATTAAATTTTGTTAAAATTTCATTTTGTTTTGTTTCCTTCATTTTTTCAAGTTCTTAAAGTGTATAACCCACATATCAACAATTGTATACAAATTTCAGGTTTCGCTGATTAAATTTCGTGTATTAATTTATATGTAAACATCTTAAAGGACATGTGTCTTAACTGTCTGTTACGTCCCTGTGTATCATTTCCAGGATCAGGGTACGCAAGAATTCTACAAAATAAAAAAAAAATACATAATTAAAAATTATTTTTAAAAAAATAAACGTCTAGGGCTTTTGTCGAATCATCATTGCTATTCTTTTTTGGTACTTCAAAATGTTTGGACAGTGTATTAATTTTGTTTGCTTGATTTGTTTTCAAGAACTAATAAAGTAAAGGAGTCACAGCGGGAGTCAATTACAATCATTTCAGTGTGATGACTGATATATATAGTAATAGTCTAAAATATCACTAAATAGAATACAGGAGTCCTCAGCGGGATACAATTTGCAAATCGCCGCGCTTTCTGCAAGACCCAACCCCTTACCCAAACTACGTCAGGGATGCTGAGGTTACACAAACATAATTTTATAAAAATGGCTGCAAAGAGTCAACATCAACACTTTTTTGCAGTTTTATCCGACTTACCTTATGACATATCCGAAAATTATATAGAGGGAGAAATTTCCATGAAAGCAAGGCAGCAAGGCTTTAAGTATTATAGTGAAAATTATTTCGAGAGGGTGAAATTGTATAAAAGCGACAAGTAGAATGAAGTCCGAATTTATGCAAAATGTCACCGATCCCAACGGAAAAATGACTCTCCGCATTCTTTAAATATAGACGTATCGCCAGGATCCTTGGGTTTGGCCGAGCATTGTTCATGCACAACTGGGTATGTTTTGTTTTAAAATTTGATGCATGTGATTTACAATGAATACTGCGATATTTTTGCTGTGAAAATCGTAAAATTAAACTCGTTTTTTTCAGAGCCAGTGGATCATGTTCTCACATTATTGGGTTGCTGATGGATCTTCACATTTGATTCTGATGGGTTTTAAAGCAGTTGTTGATAATCTAACATGTACTAGTTTACCCTAGCAGTGGTCTGTGCCAAGAGGAAGCATGATTGAAAGTTCTGCTGCTCCCCAAATTTGCATTATTAAACCCCAACCTGAAAGAAAACAGAAACCTGTAGAAAATGTTTTGACAGAATGCAGGTTAACCAAAAATATCATTAAAACCTTATAAAATTAAATAACATCACTATTAGCAAGAATTAAAATTTGTAATTTCTGTATTTCTTTAATGTATGTATTTATAATCTAATTTTTAAAGTTGCTTGATTAAAACCGTTACCAGGGTACATTGTATTTTTAGGAAGATTTATGTGCATGGGGAAGATGTTGTCCATTTACAAGCCTTAAAGGGAGTACCAATCAGTAACTTAGTGTCTAATCCCATGAAGAGGAAAATGACCCATTTGGGCGAAGTTGGAATAGGAAGCGGTCTAAGCACGCATGTATGTTTTGTACTATAATTTAGATTACCGGGTATTTCTGTCTCTCGCTATTTCTCAGGCAGAACAAATATTTAAGTACTATAATTAAGTCAATATTTTTATACTTTATCATATGTGATACATGTATACCGGTACATTAATGTAATTAATTTTCATCAAATAACAACAATATTACATGTATGCATATACCGGTAAAAATGGATAAAATATATATACATTACATACTGAGGGTGATGCGTTTAGTCAAGAAAATGCCCCATTACATTTATGAAATGCAGGTTAACTGGTTAATATTTATTTTTCAAAAGAGTTAAAAGCTCTGACTAAGGTTCTGTTTTTAATGCAAGGAAGAAAAAATTTGAAAGCATAGCACAGAC